ATTCAACATCAACGGGTACGGAGCATTCTTGACCAAACAGGAGAAAGTAGGGGGAAAACCCAGTACTCTGCGTTGCCGGGCTAGTGTTATAGGCAAACATCACACTAGGGAGAAGCTCATCCCAATTGTCCTGGTTATCATTGATAAACATGCGGAGCGTTTGCACGATAAACGAATTTAGTCTTTCACAAGCTCCGTTAGTTTGTTGGTGATAACTACTAGTTTTCAATGGTTTGTTCCCAAATATTGAACACACCGCTGTAAAAAGTTTGCTGGTAAAGGAAGTGCCATTATCAGTCAATAACACTCTGGGAATCCCATAAACGCAAATGTATTTTGAGTAGAATGTCTTGGCTACTTCCACAGCCTCCAACGAGGAAATCGGAATAGCCACGCTCCATCGGGAAAAGGCGCAAGTTAACAAAAAAACATAGCTATGACCTGCTTTTGTGGGTGGTAACGGCCCTAGGAAGTCAGCTTGAACACGATCAAACAATTGACCAGGGACTGGTAATGGTTGTAATGGGGCAGGTCTCTTGTGAAAGTCACGTTTATTTGTTTGACAGGCAGTACATGCAAAAAATATACTGCTTTATGTCCTCCAGCATGTGATGCCAATAGTACTTCTGTCTAATAGCATTGAATGTTCTGTCAATACCAACATGTCCAGCTAACAAGCTGTCATGGTATGCTTGTAAAACATGTTGTACCAACGACTGAGGTATCACCAGTTGACGAATGATTCTGTCGTTCCTGTGGCCCCGGCCGGGCGGCGCATATAAGTGGTACAATATGTCATTGTCAAGGATAAAATCCTGGCTTTGTAACAATAATGTACGTGTGGCCTTGTCATCAGTAGAAAAGGTTTGAGACTTAATGCAATCAATCAGCGCCCGTAGTTTATGGTCGTCATATTGCCTCTGTGCTATGGAGTAATCTCCTAGGGGGTCGGACGATACACTGAGAGGGTCGTCAATTGTGGAGGCATCATACAACTCTGATGTTACATCTGTTGCAGGCACAATCGACGTTTGGTCGCCGTGGTCATCGGACGTGGCGATATCATTGTCTGTACTGTTCGTATCAGTAGCAAACAAATAGGGGACGTCTGAAAGTGGGTCATCTAACTCTGGTGGGCATTCTGGGTAAGGCAATCTGGACAAGAAATCTGCGTTACCCAAGTTTTTGCCTGGTCGATACTGAACCGTGAACGTGTAATCACTCAATAAGAGTGACCAGCGGCTCAGTCTGGCTGAGCGGTCCTTATTGTCTTTCAAATACTGTAAAGCTCTGTGATCTGTCACTACAGTAAATGGGGCATGTGTCAAATATACCTTGAAATGTTTGATACCTGATACTACTGCTAAACATTCTTTTTCTGTAATTCCATAGTTTTTCTCTGTTTTTGACAGAGCACGACCACTGTAGGCTATTACCACGTCTCTGTTTTCGGCATCCTTTTGACCGAGCAAGTACCCTAGAGCGTCATCACTAGCATCTGTGTATAGGATAAATGGTTTTTCAAAATCTGGGAATGCTAAGATTGGTGGTTTTAGCAAAGCAGATTTGAGGGTTTGAAATGCCTGTTCTTGTGCTTCCGTCCAAACAAATTTTGTATCCTTTTGCAACAATGAATGTAAAGGAGCTGCTACTTTGGAGAAACTTTGAATGAAGCGACGATAAAATCCTACCTTTCCGAGGAAACTTTTAACGTCTTTTGGCGTTGTTGGCGTCGGAAACGAAGCTATCACGCTAGTTTTTTCAGGGTCTACTTGTACTCCACTATTTGAAAAAATATGTCCCAAGTAAGCAACTGACAGTTTAGCAAATTGGCATTTTGAAGGCTTCGCTTTCAAATTTGCGTTGAGTAGGCACAAAAATACTTCTTCTAAATCTGCTAAATGTGTCTCAAAATCCGAGGAGAAGCACAAAACATCATCTAAATAGCACATTGTTTTACGCCAATTTAGATTGCGGAAAACGTCATTGATCAGTCTTTGAAATGTTGCTGGGGCAGAGGCCAGACCAAAGGCCATACGATTGAAGTGATAGGTACCACTAGCTGTCACAAATGCACTTTTGGGTTTACTTTCTTCATTCAGCGCTAATTGCCAATATCCCGCTGCCAGATCTATGGTTGTGTAATATTTTGCATGTGCTGTGCCCAAAACATCAAGAACATCTTCTAATCTCGGCATTGGGAATACAATCGGCAATGAGCACGAATTCACAACTCTGTAGTCGATGGCTAGACGCCATGATGGAGGAGAACCCTTAGCCTGTTTCTTAGGCACCATAACAACTGGAGAAGCCCAGGGGCTATCATGATCTGGTTCACATATGCCTAAGTCTACCAACTCTTGAACTTGCAATTGACGATCTATCTCTGCACGCATAGCAGGATTTGTACGGTAAATCGTTGCCTAACGGGTGGGGCATCCCCTGAAGCAATATCATGTTGCACTGAATCATTTAACCCAATTTCTGAGAGATTAATGGCAAAACAGTCGCGATACCTGGCTATCAACTGACCTATTTGTGCTTGTTGCTCCTGTGACAAGTGGGATGAAGAAAAATCAATATTCAACTCACGTAATCTCGCGTCTATTTCTGACTGAGAGAGGGAGGGTTCCGATTCGGAGGGGGAATGTGACTGTAGAGGTGTAATTTCATCGGAGTGTACCCAAGTGAAATGAGCAACTTCATGACCTTTTGGAATGTCCTATCTATCCACTACATGTCCATCTATCACTACAGAACAGGATCAGACTGGCCAGGCTCGTCACTAGCTGGTGGAAACTTAGAACGATCGGGATTCGACTCGATCGACTGTAAACCGCGCACCACTCTCCTAATGTTGAGGGTATCATTTTTTTAGTGTTCGAGCCTGACCTGTCCCTGTCACATGTCTCAATACCTCCATTTGATTCGTTACAAGTTTATATCTGACCATGAACTCATGTGTGTCGCCCTCGGAAAAATACCAAAAACCTACGTGCCAGATTGCTCATCTCTCTATTGATTTCGTGACTCGCTCCGAAGCTCCAAATGGATTATACCTTGTAATTCCCCATTTGTTTCAATAACTCCTGGATAATAGCCAGAGACCAATCCAATGATAAATGTGAAATGTCTTTTCTCTATTGATTCCTTTCCAATTACAAGTTCTGTCGCGAACTATATCTAATGGGTTCTATTTATTATCATTCGTTTCTGAGATGCATTTTTAACCTTATAACAGTACCTAAAATGTAGTGACATGTAGAAACCGTTGGCTGGAGCTGTAGTATTGCTCGACATAAAGAGAAAGTCGACTATTCGAAAGTCTTCCCTCTTGTCATACAGTGCTGAGGATACTTAATTGTCAGTCTGAATCGTTATTCATAGGGCCCGTGAAGACGCCGGGGTAGAATAGGTCTTCAGCAACCCATACTTGCCGTAAAAGGTGACTATGCTTGTCGTAAAAGGCGACTAACGAGATCGGGTGGTCAGGCTCGCTGACTTGGTTGATACATGTCATCGATCCCAATTGCGTGGATCGATGCTCATGATATTAATCACTGGATTGTCTGGTTCAGACTCGATTATTTACAGACCGCCGTCATAAAGCTGTAATATTGGTGAGTGCGGCGTTAAACAACAAACCAACCAACCAACGTTATTCATAGATCTGAATATGAAACGAAAGAGGCGGCTTCACTGACCTCTTTATTTCTAGTTTAGGTGGTACATCAGTGGAAGGGAACAGTCTGGTTGACCATCATTAAAAGGCATCAGATCATTGACATACATGAAGTATAAGTTAAACGTCTTGGGTAAATTCTCTTGTTTTGATTTTGCCAATCCGAGGAAAGGTTGTGACTTGTATACAGAAAGAAACAGATCAGCAACGAGGAGAGCACACTTGGTGCCGAAGGGGATGCCCACTTCTTGCCTTAATGTCCGATCCCCTAAATTCAAACAGATGTCATCTATGAGTGACTGAGTGAGTTTGGTTTAACGCCGCTTTTAACATTATTCCAGTTATATCACGGCGTGTCAGCTTAATGTGGGAGGAAAGCCTGAAGTGATGCAGGTCTCAGACGTTTACCACTTCGGTGAAACCCACGAGCACGGGTATTGTGCTGACAAACCTAGAAACATAATCGGGGCGAATCGGGATTCGAACCCACAATCATAGGTTTGTGGCGTGCCCAAGGGATGCAACTCTGCACAGCGAATCGCGGCGCCTTAGACGACTGGGCCACCCGTGCCCCTTGTCATCTATGAGGAACTCAAGCATTTCACGTACTGTATTCTCCTCAGATGACATTTGCTTTCATTTTTTACCTTTCTTGATTATTATTATGCCGGTTTATGAACCTGAGATAAGGTAGATGTTTCGGTTCTGGATTTGTACGTGTTTCTTTAGTCCAACATTGAACTTTTTAACTGGCCCTCCTCTAACATCATACAAAAAGAAATTGATAATGGTTTCATAGTTTTAATTGAATAAGGAATTATGATGAAAATCAAACATTGAAGTTTTTAACAGCTGCCTAACAGATCCGGGGTAGAATAGGTCTTCAGCAACCCATGCTTGCCGTAAAAGGCGACTATGCTTGTCGTAAGAGGCGACTAACGGGATCGGGTGGTCAGGTTGCGCTCACTTGGTTGATGCATGTCATCGAATCCAATTGCGTAAATCGATGCTCATGATGTCAATCACTGGATTGTCTGGTCCAGACTCGATTATTTTACAGTCCGCCGTCATATAGCTGGAATATCGCAGAGTGCGGCGTTAAACAACAAACAAACTAACAAACTAAACCCTAACAGAATACAATAGTGTTGTTGCTCATATTGATTTGCTTGATGATGAGAATGAATTGATCATTCGAATTGCTATTCCGTGACACTGTAAACCGATACAGAAACTATAGCAACGTTAATGCGTCAGCATGTGATTGGCACTACCCCGAAGGTTGATCGTTGTGGAGACGGCAGCAGCGTTACAAGAACAGCGGTAGTGCCGGAGCAGGCAGTTGTATTTGAACTGCAAGTCTGTTTCTTTGTTGGGAATACAGTTGTGGCTGTGGATTGTGGACCAAGCGAATTGCACGGTATGTCTGCTACTGGACTTGTTTTCCTTGTTGCATCACTTGTTGTTGCTGGTGAAGGACACAAATGTACAGACATCTCGAGGATTTCTGGACTGCAACATGACACCAAGCTTTTGTCTTCAACGTTTCGGGTTTTCAACTATGTAGGGTTCATGGGGTGTGCTAAGGAGTGTCTTTCACGACGGCGTTGTAAGTCCTTCAACTTTGACTTGAACAAGTCGGAATGTGAACTGAATGAATTGTCTACTTCCGTTTCTGTGTCCAGCAGCATCGTAAATGTCCAGAACAGTGTTGTCATTGATATTGACCAATGGCCAGGAAGGGTAACCGGAGCCTGTCAGAACCATTCATGCCCAATTAACTCTGTGTGTCAGGTTCGTACTGATGAAACTACTTTATGTCGAGTTGAGTGCAGTGATCCGCCAAGTTTGACCAATGGTGCAATCACATTGACCACTATATCAAATGACGTCGACTCCGTCATCGACTTCACGTGTTCATCTGGATATGAAAAGATGGGATCAGCTGTTTGTCAGCCTGATGGTTTATGGTCTAATTATTCCTGTGTTCAAGGACCTGCTTGTTCCTTACCAATGATTCCAAACATTACCATTTCGAGCCAGGCCATCCCTCCTTTCCCTTCAGGAACACTTGTCAACTATTCTTGCCCGGAAGGTCATCTTGGAAGTGGAAGTCTGGTTTGTACAACAAACGGTACCTGGTCCTCAGTTCGCTGTGAACAGGGTTGCACTGATCCACCGTCGGTTGTAAATGCCAATATCAATAATTCATCTACCACGTTTGCAGTGGGAACTGTCGTTGATTACAGCTGCATTCATGGATACATTGCCAGTGGTCAAGTTAAATGTCAATCAACTTATACATGGTCAGCCATGGACTGTATTAAAGCATGTATGGACCCTCCAAGCATAGCAAATGGAACTCTTATTGATGTCGGGGAAGGACCGTGGCTGAATGGAACACTCGTCAACTATAAATGCGATCAAATACTTTACAAGTTTGGTGGTATTGGGCACAAGGTCGAGTGTTTAGACACTGGTCAGTGGAGCAGCCCTAGCTGTCATCCCATACGAAAATGTGACCACGTCAGAACGTGTCGCTCATCATATGGAGATGGGGAATATTGGATGTATCCTACAGCCTTTGGCTCCACGGCCGTAAAAATCTACTGTCATCAAATGGCATCCTCCCCAGAGGAATACATCACCTTACCAGGAGAGACGTCCGTTGATTACTCCAACACAAACTGTGAGCAGAACAAAGGCCATATGGAATTCAAAGCATGTAAAACTACAATATTCAACAGAGCCAAAGTACAGATATGGCACATGATGAGTTTCAGTCCACAGCTAAAGGATACAACATTTATCAACCAACCAAGCTGTGATGATATAAGAATGGGCTGGGTGTACGACTGTTCGGGTAGTTGTTCTGGCGTCAGTGCCCGTAGGTTTAAGATCAATACAACAGGAACTGGAGTAATAGTAGACCCAAACCAGAAGTGGTTGGCTGCGAGCGGACAGGTTGTCATTACAAGAACAGAGTCAAACAGGGTTGTTTCAGGAAGCTGCAAGAGGTCATGTGGATGGTGCACTCCTGAAAGCTACTATATTAAATACATCATAGATCCTGCGTATCTCCCGCCGACTGAATCTGCCACAAAACCAGAATGTGTTTTTTGAGACATTTCCGACCTCAATCGTACAACACAATGGTTATTTCTATTATGTTTACAAAACATTTGTTTGGAACCTGACATGCTTCAAAGTTTGTTTGGTGCATATATCACACATACATGGGTTAAATACGTACACACACACACACACACACACACACACACACACACACACATCTCTCTTTGTCTATCTCTATACATACATAATGAACAAGCTGATAATGAACTGACGGTTATAACGAACTGAATTTTTGTCCCGGCCATTTTTTGTATGTATACTATGCTCATAACGGACTTCGTTTATATCGAACTAATATTAGTGGTCCCTTTGAGTACATCCCTCTTCCGGAGCTACATCTAAATAAATATTCTGACCAATAGAATGCACATTATGGGAACTGACTTTCATATTATTATTATTTGTATTATTAGTACTTTTGACATTAGGAGCGTTGTTGCTTGCAATATCTAAGACATATCCAGCAATATCACGGCGTGGAGACACCAGAAACAATGGCTCCTGTATTGTTCCATGTCTGTAATCGAACCCGGTATTTGCGGGATGAACTACATGTACTTTGATAGCCCACCAACCCTGTCAGTATAACGACACGTGTCATTCTACACGCAAAACACCAACACTTTAATCTTTCTTGATGGAAAAGTAAAAATAATCCTATTAATAACTGACATAATATCAGGGTTCTTTTCACTCCTTTCTCTTTGGGGTTTATCTTTGAAAATCTTCATGCAGACACCGGCTCGATAAGTGATATGTGCAGTACGATATCAGTCAGTCAATCTTTCCAGGATGCAAAGTTCGCAGTTCTATAGGTTGATAAGTCATTACATCCAGTAGATAATTTACATTGGACTGAGATGCAGGAACGGATTGCATGGTTTGCTTTGGTAATTACCATTACACTACCGCCATTAAAACATAAATAAGAATATAAAGTATCAACATCAATTAGTGAGTGAGTGTGTGTGAGTTGGGTTTAACGCCGCTTTTAACAGTATTCCAGTTATATCACGGCGTGTCAGCTTAATAACGTAGGAAAGAACGAAGTGATGCAGGTCTCAGACGTTTACCACTTCGGTGAAACCCACGAGCACGGGTATGGTGCTTACAAACCTAGAAACATAATCGGGGCAAACCGGGATTCGAACCCAGAAATCATAGGTTTCTGGCGTGCGCACGGGATCCAACTCTGCACAGCGAATCGCGGCGCCTTAGACCATCATGAAGTTAGAGCCTTATGCTATTTCGTAAGTATTGAGGTGCAATCCGGCTTTCACCACCATTATACTATAGTTTACTACCTGTATACGACATGGTTAATTATGTGTGTACCGGAATTGCACCTGTCAATGCACATGTAACCATCAGCTTGAATTTGAGCTAGCTGTGTGGGACACAATCGATCCCATGGAACATTTTTCGAGCATTTTCGGAACATATTATTTGCTAAAAGCATTTCCAGGATTAAGTTAGATTAGGTATATTGTTATATTTGTCTTTAATGTTCAAACATTACATAGTAATATTCCCCTTTTCACAAGTTTTGAAGTACAAGCAAGCATGCTCTGTCTTAGTAGATTTCAAAGAGCGTCGTACGACTCTTGCCTAAATGTTGTTTAATATATCATGCAGGGCTACACTGTTCAATGAATTAGAAAAGCTTTAACAATGTTCAGGGTAGATATGTTGAGTATATTTTCAAATTTGACGTTTGTCCGATGCAATTCCCTAATTTAACGTGTATCATATATTCCTGTGTTTCTTCAGGTGAAGAAGTGACTTGTCTTTGCATGTGTTTGTGATGCGTGCCACTGGTGTATGAATCACGGGGGAGTGGGTGATTTTTGTTTTACGCCGCATAAGCAATATTCCTGCTGTATCAGAACTGCCTGTACATACTTGAATCTGGGCCTGTCAAATCTTTGGCCGGAAATACGAGCAGCGATGCATGCCACCGGGCCACGTTAGCAATCAGAACAAGATACACCTTGGTCATCTGATACCAAGTTTGAGACGCTTTTGATGACGAGTGCACCTGTGCTGCAGGGATGAAGGGGCGGTGGGGTTTCCCCTCATGTATACAATCAAGCTCCTTCCCTGCGCGTGACACCTTCGTTACACTCTCGGTAACATCGCTGCCATCAGTGTGGGCGCGGCCATTACAAGAATCTTGAAATTTGCCCTCTAACCCCAAATGTTGTAACGTTGATACTTTTGTTTATGTCTTTGGGAATGCCATGATATTTCATTTTGAAAAGGTTTACGACTGACCATGTTTTCCAGATGAATTTACTTTGTTGTTTTAATAATCAGATTGGTTCGAGATTGCAGACTAACGGAAAATCAACCAACTTCTCCCTGACATTCTTACTATATCAATAACACGATAGTTTTAATGAAACAGAGGTTCAAATTGACAAACGAAGAAAGTAATTTAGCAGCGATAAGTGTATTCGGCGTCACGACAGTCGTCACTCGTTTGTAAACATTAACGGTCATTCGGTTGCGAGTTCAACTCCAAGCATGGTTGTGGCTACATATTCACAGTGGGGAGTTTTGACTGGTGGCAGCGATATCGCTGTGAGGAGCTTGGGATACAATGTGTAAAGCCTACTTCTGTTCATATTGGTGGAACAGTGCTAAAAGCGTTGTAAAACCAAACTCACTCACTCACTCACTTTTTTGTTAAACGTCACACTCAGTGTTATGTGCTGGTAAATTTAATGGCGGTATGAAGTGTTGTAAATATATTTGTAGTAATTGTCAGTGGCATCAACTGCTTGAACTGCAAGTAAAAGATATGAAATGGTCGTGGTCCGATTTGAACCGCAGTCAACAGCAGCTAGTATGGATTTCCAGAATGGTTAAACTGTACCAGAACTAGAACTATCTGCCCTTGTTGTGTACATTAACATGGCAGATGCGACCACTGTACAAGTTTCTAAAACTTGATTGTGGGTTCGAATCCCGGTTCGCCCTGATTATGTTTCTAGGGTTGTCACCACCATACCCGTGCTCGTGGGTTTCACCGAAGTGGTAAACGTCTGAGACCTGCATTACTTCGGGCTTTCCTCCCACATTAAGCTGACACGCCGCGATATAACTGGAATATTGTTAAAAGCTGCGTTAAACCCAACTCACTCACTCACTCTAAAACGCTGGCTGTACCGACATAAGAGCGGCGACACGTGGACAAATCGAGGCCTTTTTTCGATCTTAATTGTTTTTAATTTTCTTGCCAAGTGCAGTTTGAATGCCTATTTGAAAACACATAATTCATGCTAGCTTCCAACACTCTTTGGGATTCAAGACCTGAGACAACGTGGGTGTCCTCACATTAATTCTAGAGCCTATTACATATAGCTTCTGCCACCTATTTGCCTTGCCTTTTGATTGTAAATCTAAAACTGTGTGTTTCAATATAATCGTGTGATTATTCATTGATCTTGTGTGTTCATTTATTGATTATTACTGAATCTAGATCTGTGTGTATTGACTTCTAGGTCAACCTCTAGATCTGTCTTTCAATCCATTTGACAGTGCCCTCTAAATAATCGAGTCTGAACCAGTCAGACCAGTCATTGATATTACGTCCCAGGTTGCTTCTTGATTTACCGTATTCGACGTAATAAGCGCCCAGGGCGCTCTCAAAATTAGAAATATGGGGGCTCTTATTAGAATATTATTTTTGGGGAAAAAAACAGAGTTGAAAGATAAATTTCGTTGTTTATGCTGACAGCCTGAAATGTTTATTTACGACAGTTATATTTTTCCAGAATTTAATTTTCCATATTTAAGGTGCATAAAACACACGATTTCGTATTATACGCGAATACATAAGTCTTGTGTACATTGATCAATCGGAAGGGGTGCTAATTGGGATTGTTCACTAGCCAGTATATTAGCAAATATCGCCGTGGGCGCTTATTAGAGCGGGGCGCTTATGTCGAATCATTCAAAACATCTGCATAAGTTTTCACTTGTTACGTAGTTTTCTAATTGTGTTTCCCATGTTGAACCTAGGTAGTTTAAATTTGAACTCTCCTTTTTCTGAAACAGTTTATATACACATTCACAGTCGTCTGTGTCGCAAAGACGGTAATAAGGTAATTGATCAATTTTCAGTGTTTGTACATGTTGTATCCTGAATGCGTCGATCCATTTCCCCGGAATGTGTTCTATTACTCACTTGCAATGCGAATTCTCTTTGTAACTCTACATTTGTTTGAGGTTCATGTTCGGTTAAAACGGTGGATCATAGTTTGAATGCCTTGTTTAAACCAGCTAAAAAAGGCTTCATATCTTTCAACAATATGTTATTCAAGGAAGAAAGTTTTAAAAATTGATTAGTGTTATCGATGTTTTCTTCATTAACAAAGTAATAATTTGACATCACGTCTTTCCAAAATTTGTTATCAATCATTTTAGCGATTTTATGAAAGTAACGTGTTTGGAAGTGAAATATATTTTTGTTGCCATGGGGAAATGTAATAGATTTGGCAAGTACTTTCCATATACCTGTTGAATTCAACCTCCTTACCCATTAAAGTTATATTTAATCAAGATAATCACGGCTTCTCTGTTGATGCTGCCATGGGAGAAATAACAACGAAAATCCCGTTCTTCCTCCAATATTTGTTCATCGTTACTCGTGCTCTGTGTCTCTTGCAAACAATAATTTATGACTTTATACCCCGCATAAAATTAAAAATGTCTCTTCGCTAATTCGATCTGACTGTAAACCCCTGGCATTGATCGATAAGATAGCCAGATCAGTCATTGCTAGTGTTTAGAGAGTATACATCTCTCGAGATACATTGGGCTGATGAAACTGCTTGACTGACATACAGTGGTCATGAGTGTTGAAAATATGAGAGGAGAGGGGTGAAAAGACAGGGAATGAAAGAGAAAGAGAAAGAGAATAAAAATAAAATATGTAAATTGGCGCATCCCATTGTATTAGTTAATATGGGAAAGTCCTAATCAAGAAGGGAGGTAAACATAGGTCTCGAAAGTGTTAATAGTTGATGTGGTTGATGGTTCTGAACTGCTGAGCGGTACAGACATGAGTGTCAACCAAGCGAAGTACAATATTTAATCGGCCCAGCCTTTCAAGGAGAGGCTATCTTAACGACCACTGCATCGAGTTTATATGCAGTGTGTTGAGTGGATCAGAAAAATTGAAACGACAGAGGTGTAAGTACCTAAATAGGTTTAGACAACTTAAAGACAGGGATTCATTACAACTTAATAATGCAACAAGAAATAAGTACGATGCCATTTGTAGACAAAAACGAAAAAACTACTTCCAAAAACAAAGGATACTCTTAGCAAACAGTATAGATGACCCAACCCAGTTCTGGTCAATAT